GTTTAAGAATTGTTTAGACTTTTGGGGTTTAGGGTTTAGTTTAGTGTTTAAGAATTGTTTAGGCTTTTGGGTTTTAAGGCTTAGGGTGTAGACGCTTCAGAGTGCTGGACCAGAACCCCCACTACGGGCTGAGGGCTTTGCGGTTTAGGCCTCGTGGGTTCAGGCCTTTAGTTCGAAGTCGTTAGAAGCCCAAATCTCGATTTTAGGGTTTAGGGTTTAGGGTTTAGGTTTAGGGTTTAGGGTTTAGGTTTTAGGTTTTAGGGTTTAGGGTTTAGGGTTTAGGGTCAAACCCTACAAGACCCCTAAGACTTGGATACTGCCCCCTCTCAGTAACAGTTGGGTTATATTCAGAATTTGGATATATAAGGCCCTTAATGGTAGCACTGTTATAGACTGCTACTGTGTGGGGGCAGTACCCAACCTAAAGCCTTAAACCTGAATCCTTGGTTTGAGCGCAGGACCATGAGCCTTCCAGACCTTGCTTGTGTCATGACCACGCAGGAGACTAGACAGACCTATAGGGGTCTCCATATGGGGCTTCTTCGATGCATAGCAGCTTTAGGAGAAAGAGGGTCCATATAAACTAGTTGTGGAACTAGGCCCCCAAAGCCGCACCAGGGATGGTCCTTTCGGACCTAATTTCATGATTGTTGCTTTTATGGACCCTCTGGGTCAGGAAAAATATTAGCGGCTTCATAGGGTTTTGGAAGGATGAACGGTATTGTAGTAAGGCTTTGCAAGTGGCGTGCAAGGACTTCAGAAGACATCCATGGGGTTTCTTTAGGGCTTTACAGCGGAGGCTTGTAGGGAGTTGCGATAAGGGTTGTGAGAGCTTCACGTCGCTACTTCGAGGCCTGTGGGAGCCCAACATGAGGTTGCTTAATGTAGGGCCTTCATAATTAGAATAGGGTCTTGGGGGGGTATATTATACCATATGCACAATAAGGAGGCACCAAGATAGTATAGGTACCCTAAACCCTAAACCTTATTTGGGCCCCTACATGAAGTTGGGAGATCCTTTCGAAGATTTGGCGCTGTGGGTCTAGAGCAGAGGTCTTTGCAAGAAGCATCCTGCTACTCCGGGTGCTTTATGAGGGCCGCTGTAGTTTCTGAAGCTCCCAATCCAAATTCAACGGGTCCTTAGTACCCCTATAGTAGACAGCAGGGTTTCGATATCATGAATTGCCATTGTCCTTCAGGTGAGGAACCCCATTACCCCATTGGAGTAACCCCAATTAATTAAGGACAATTAGTGCTGGCATTCCCGCTACACTACTCGTAAGGATTGAGGCCATAGAGTTTCCAACTTTTGGCCTTCTACCGTCAAGCAGAGAGGCTGGAGGAAAGTTCTTCGCACCGCGACCGATAGTTTCCGGTTGGGGGTTTCCCGAACCCGAAGGTTCAATGGGTAGTTATAAATGGGGTTAGAAGTCCCCTAATATGGGTTAATTTTACATTTACCCTACTTATAACCCCACTTCTAACTACCCATGAACCTCCAAGTAACCCCGAACTCTCCGAAGACAACACTCTGGATTTAGGCTTGAGGGTTGAACGGTTAGGGTTTGAGCTGTCAGCTACCGATGTTTCATAAGACAGGTAGCTGGAGCCGACAACTGGGGCTCATGAACGGATGCCGTAAACCCTCATCCTCCCTTCTGGTCCCTCCCGGTGTTCCGTTCGCTCAGTTCGTTTTTGTTCCAATACCACCCCGTCAGACAAATCGAACACACCCAAAACCCTAAACCCTAAGCCCTAAACCAAAAGCCCTACACCCTAAGCCCTAAAGCGTTGGAACATGGCTTCGATGTGCATGATTAGAGGGATCGAGCTCTCTGGCCATGGATGTCGACATCGAGAACGTACATATACATATTTTTAACTGCTGCATCTTATCTGTGTATGTTTGGCTAGCCATCGCAGTGACATATCTGTCAGAGATCCGCTCAATTGGTGTCGTTGGGGTCTGGCTTGATCTCGCCGTGCAACTAGTTTTTCTAGTATTCGGTGAGCTCGTCAACTATTGCAGCTGGGTGGAAATACTCGGACACCAGCTTGGCCGATATCATTGGATTTTATCCCTTCCGATTTTTCTTGGGCTGAGGTCCCTGGCTGTTGGCAAGAATGGTCACTGTTTGCGTTTCTGGGAGGGTAGCCAACCGCTGCGTCAAGTTGATGTATGCGATGTCGAGGAATGGAAGGACTTCAGGGGAAGCATCTACTTCCAAAATGGCGCTCTCACCCAGCATGGTCGTACGATGCCTGCCTTTCCCATCAACATCACGGCTTGTTTTGCCATAGCCGGGGGCCATCAACCAGACCTGCAGGAAGACTGCTACTTTATGGTGCGACCCGTGTTCCAATGTGATGATGAGGGCCCCGACGGCGGGCTACCACTATCCTGTGTCGCGCCACATGCTTGCGCGTGGGCGATCACTGCGAACACCAGCAGCATGCCCCAGCCGCCCCAAACCCCGGCCTGTTCCACTTCGAGCCTCTGCGGCTTTGTTACTGACCTGAAGCAGCTCATGCCTGGCATGCTGCATCTTAGTAGTTGAGTAGGTCACCTTTAACCTTTTTTGGGGCGTTTGTAATCCTACCACAACTGAAAAGGTCAATTTTTTTTGGGCTAGGGTACTCAGCCCCCCAAGGCATGTGAATGCGAGCATGAGCGCCTTTGAAGATGCGCTGGAGACAGCTGGAAGGCACTTCCCAGGACTCACAGCAGAAAGCCCGTTGCTGTACCTCGTCAACCCGGTCGAGGCAGAAGAAAGCCGAAATCAGTGGGTTTATATTGGGGTTTCCTAAAGCCCTAAACCCTAAACCCTGAGCCCTAAACTAAACCCTAAACCCAGGGCTTACCACTTTCGAAAGAACGAGCGACACCGTGTGAAGCAGCTTTTAAACCAAGCAGCACCTCACCTAAAAAACCTAAACCCACAACCCCAAGCCCCCTAAGGAAACCCGCTCCCTTCTAGGAACCTTTCAAGTTCCCAGATTCCCAGAGAACCCAATACCCCTTAATCAAGGAATAGACCTTAAATCATAATCTTAACCCAAAGGGTCCTAAGTACTGTTATGGGGCATACTTCCCTAAATCATAATAGGAATTCCTAATATAGAAACCCTACATTCTACTATATAGGTACTTAGGACCCTGTGGGTAAGGCCCGCCCAGGCCCTCAACCTAGGCCTTTGGAAATCCGCCCAGGTGACTGGATCTCTGGGAGCTTGGGTTCCTATATACTACGTCTTGCTCTTCATCTATGTTCCCTGTGTCATCGTTGGGTAGCATTTTATATTGTGTATGGGTATTTTTGAATTCAATGAGGAAAGAATGGCGATTCTTAAATACTATCCCAACCATGAACTAGGTTCCCTTTGGGACACTCCTTGCCTGGCTGCAGCCTGCTTGGCAGTCAGGATGCGGAGGAGCACTGCAAAACTATGTTGACTTCTTGGAAGGTCTATCTGAGGATGACACGGACTGACCCGGAGACGCCCAAACCCACTGAATTCAGGCATAAACCTTACATACCCTTACGGGGACTCTTTATAAGGCCCGTTGATGCAGGGATATTGGAGTCTCCGGGAAGTAAGGGCGGCCTGGAGTCACCCGCATCATGTCATCGTTCGAAGCATGTTGAGTCTCCGTTGAGTGCTCAGATGAGGACAAAGGGGGGCGGCGTTGAGTGTTGGGTGTTAGGTTAGGAGTGTGCAGGTTAGGTTTTCGGTTGAGGTGTTTAACGCCTTGCTTCGGGGTTACGTTCCATGCTCTGACCAGGGATCAAATTCTGCTTACATCAGAGATTGGACGGATCCGTAGTATCGCTTCTCACGTGGATACAAACGGGTGTTTAGGGTTTAGGGCTTACGGCTGTTTGTGATAGGATAAGATTAGAGTGGACTTTGAGAAGGGGTGGCGATGATAGCGGCGGTGTTGAAAATTGACGGACCTACTTTCGAGTAAGACGGCGAGACCAAGCCTAATCCGAAATCCCTGAACCCAATGATGCGTATCATGTTAGACATAGCCGGAAGCTGACCATGGTGACGGTGATGATTGTAGTTTTGAAAAATGGAGCTCAGACAAGTACGAGGGTGTCGAGGAGGATGACGACCACGACGAGACCCTTGACGAGGATTGGCTTGATCATGATGGTGATGATGATGTTCAGGACGTTGTTGCTGGTTCCAGTCATGGAGATGAAGATGATGTCAACGATGTGGTGAGAATTATGATGATTATGTTGTTGGGGATGATGCTGCTGATGATGTTGCTGGTGATGATGGCGATGATGAGCACGAGGGTGACGATGGGACAGACGTGAAATTATATAATGCCCAAAACTTGTATGGACAAGACTGCGACGCGACCATGTCAGAAATGGCACTGATGTGGACAGGTCTCGGAAGGGATGTTGAGACTGAGGCGCACACATGACGACAATCGTCCGGTGGCGATGTTGATGACTATGTGACTATGTCTAAATTCTAAAAGCTGAGATCGAGCAAGTCGATGACCTCGGCTACGGCGACCGCAAAGGACTTGAGCCTGGATTTCCGGATCCAAAAGCCTGAACCCTAAGCTTCATCCGGAGTTTCAAGCAGGACCATCTGGAAGCTCAAGATATCGGTGGGCTTATGTTTTGCACAGCCGCAACTGTATGAGCATCTCGCACCCACGAGCCCCCCAAAATTGCAGCGCCGTTTTAAGTAATCAATGTTGAGCTTTGGGATTTGGAAATCAAAGACTCAAGTCTCGACGGGGTTTTGTTCGAGATTTCAAGTTTGAGGTCATGGCTCTCTGTTTGGTTTTTGTTCCCAGCCCCAACCCCTAAACCCCTAAACACCAACCCCTAAACCCTAAACCAGCCGTTGCTGTAATTGTAGGTGGTTCTTTGAGCAGCGGCAGGTTTAAGCGGCAGGCTTCGGGGTTTAGGCTTTTGGGATTTGGGGTTTAGGGTATTGGGATGTCGGTTTAGGGTTTAGGTTTTAGTTTGGGGTTTAGGGTTTAGAGTTTAGTTTGGTGTTTAGGGTTTTGGGGTTAGGATTTAGGGTTTTGAGTTTAGTTTGGGGTTAGGGTTTAGGGTTTAGGGTTGAGTTTGGGGTTTAGGGTTTAGGGTTGTTAATTGCCATATGGGTGTTCTTTAGTCTAGTTACAGTCTAATACGTCCCGAAACCCTAGTCTAATTAGTAAGGCCCTATATTAAACCCTAAACCCTATAAACCCTAAACCCTAAACCCTATAAACCCTAAACCCTAAAACCCTATAAACCCTAAGAACCCTAAGCCCTAAACCCTGAACCCTAAAACCTTATGAACCCTAAGAACCCTACATCCTAAACCCTATAAGCCCTATAAGCCCTAAAGCCTATACACCCTAAAGCCTGACAGGCGAAAGTCAAGCCGGGCACCAACACCAAGCTGGATTTGGATGAGCTGGCCCGAATCTGGGCTGCTCAGTTTAGGGTTTAGGATTTAGGATTTAGGATTTAGGGTTTAGGGTTTAGGGTATAGTAGCATACTTTTTTACTTTTTGGGCTCCTGGGTTCCTACTATAGTACAACTCACCTTAAAAAGTATATACTTTTTTTTTCAGGGGGTTACTGAAGAGCCTAGGAATCTGGGCTTTTGTTCTTGGCGTTCTTCTGGCTCTTAGGACTTTAACACGGTTTAGGGTTTAGGGTTTAGGGTGGGTTTCTCTACGTATGAAAGATAATAAGTAGGCTCGAAGTTTATCTTTTAAGAGGGCTTCAGAAGTCAGCCAAGTGTTACGGAAAGTCAGTTTCCGAGGACCCTCCTTGTAACCTCAAATGCGGGGCAAGTGGTCCCAAGGAATGGGTACTTAGGCTCTAGTAGAGGCTCGATGGAGGGTCTAGGTAAGTTATCCATTTGAGGAAACCAGGGTATTTGCCAGAGATCCCTATCATGGTTACCATTGTGAAAATTTAACAAAAAACTCATAGAACCCTAAACTCCCTAATCCCTAAGGCCTAAACAAAAAGCGGCCCAGGCCCTAGGCCTTAAGCCGTATTGCTGCAATTTGGTCAAGCTCCTTACTTGGAGGTTCATGGGTAGTTATATGTGGAGTTATAAGTAGGGTAAATAGAGTTACAACCCAAACTAGGGGACTTATAACCCCACTTACAGCTACCCATGAACCTCCAAGTATTCCTAAAGCCTAATACCCTATATAACCCTTATACACCCCTTATCTAGTCTCATAAAGCCCCTATGTAACCCCAAGGGTCCCTTTAAGGGTCTCTCCTTTAGTCCCTTGATTCGCAAATGAACCTCCAATTAGACCCTAAATCCTAAACCCCTATAGAACCCTTAAAGGAGCCCTCAAATGAACCCTTAAACCCTAAACCCTAAACCTCCTTAGCAAGAGCCCAGGAAGAGGGGAAGCGATGCGGCTGAAGAACGAAGAGTCCAAGCGCGCGAAGCGAGAGGCTCCCGCAGTTGGCTTCAGGATAAAAGGGACGGTTTAGGGTTTAGGGCTTCAAGGGTTTAGGGTTTAGGGTTTAGCCTCAGGAGCCCAATAGGTAAACGTTCAACTTTTTTGGTATATTACCCCCCTACTAAATCAAAAATTTAAGCTTTTTTGCACCAGGGTACTGGGCAGGTAAAGGGGGCCTTAACAGTTGGGTTTGGGGTTTAGGGCCGTAACAGGTAGAATAGGGCTTTGAAGTATACAATACTCTGACGATCTTAGAAGAAGGTTTTGAAGTATACTATAATAAAGCTGGTCACTACCCAGAGAGCCCAATACCCCTTAATTAAGGAATATACCTTGAACCACAATACTAAGGCCCCTACAACTTTTAAGGCATATTCCTTATTAAAGAGGTATTGGGCTCCCTGGGTATTCTGTGGGCCATGTTGGGGGCTTGTCGTGAACTTACCCACTAAGTCGCGAAGAGGTTCGAGGAGGGTTAGGCTCGGGTTTGGTATGGGTTTCGGAAAGGTTTAGGGTTGATAATATGAATAAATCCTTCATGGCCCATAGCAAGGACTATACCATAATTCCCATAGTGTAGGATCCCTAACGTAATGCAGGATTTCTATCATCAACAGTAGGGTTTAGGGTGGCAGGTTCTGTCGTGGTTTCAGAAGTTTGGAAGGGCTTTTTTTTCAACCCCTGGCCGTCAAGCCCTAAACCCTCTGAGCGAAGGATGTCTAGGCCCACCATACCCAGAGAGTTTAGGGTTTAGGGTTCAGGGTTTAGGGTTCAGGGTTTAGGGTTTAGGGGTCAGGGTTTAGGGTTTAGGGTTTAGGGGTACTTCAGGTACTTGAAACCATAATAAATAAGATTAACGGGGGCACTCCTTCAGACCCATCACAACCCCTTGCGACAAGGCCAAGACAGCGACAAAGAGAAAGAGGAAGCAGCGAGTACCTTCTCTGCAAAACGTCGGAAAGTTAAGGGCCTAAGCCCTAAATCCTAAACCCTAGAGCCTAAACCCTAAACTCTAAACATTTAAGGGGGGCTTAGGGTTGAGGGTTTAGTGACTTTCTGCAAGGTTGCTGCTGCTGCTGCTGCTGTTGAGCTCCGTTTCCAGGGACACCATCTCCTCTTCTTGGTCTACTACTACTAGTCCTGCTACAAACGGCAGTTTTTAAGTTTGACTGCCGCAGTGACTACTATTGCTTTAAACCCTACCTTAACCCCACAGAACCTACCTTTTTAAGGACTTATGTAACGAAGTCACAATGAGGAACCCAAAAAAGGCGGGTTCTTTGGGGTCCAGGTACACCCTAAACCCTAAACCGCTCTGTTGCTACGCCCCTTTGCGAATGACAGGGAGTTCTGGTGGGTGGTTACTGTCATTTAGGAGCCTTATAGAACGTCTACATACCTTATAGAAGCCTTGTAGAAGCCATTTTTTTCCCTAAACCCCCACCTGTAGTTTCCCGTAAGATGACAGGGAGTTCTGGTGGGTCTGAGGCTCACCCTAAACCCTAAACCCACCCAAGCCTAAAGCCTAAACCCTAAACCCAACCCTAAACCCTTTAAGCCCTCAGCCCTAAACCCTAAACCCTTAACCCTAAAGGTGCCAGCCTTTTTTTTGCCTTCCAGGGCCTCTCAGCCCGAAGCTTTCGGGCTGAGGGGGTTTTAGGGTTGAGGGCATGGTTTAGGGTTTAGGGTTGAGGGAGTTGTTTAGGGTTTACGGTTTAGGAAGTTGTTTAGGGTTTAGGGTTGAGGGAATGGTTTAGGATTTACGGTTTAGGGAGTTGTTTAGAGTTTAGGGTTGAGGGAATGGTTTAGGGTTTAGGGAATTGTTTAGGGTTTAGGGTTTACGGAATTGTTTAGGGTTTAGGGAATTAGTCAGGCCCCTAGACTTATCTTGCTGGGCGCTTTGTAGGATTGTTGTGTTTTTTCCATAGTAGACCACCGAGGGATGATTAAGAGTTAGTGCGATTTTGCGGCACCCAAGTGGGCTTCTCGTCGAGGTCCGGAGGACAGGTCCCAAAGTGTAGACACGCT